TTGCAATTAAAAAACGTCGCAAATGGTTAGTTTAGATGTAACGACACATCATATCAGGGAAGAGAGACACCCCCCCCCCCTGAACACCCCCTACCCCCTACCTCCCCCTACCCCACTACAGAGCTATTACGTACTCGCTCGTCAGGGGGAGACCCCCTGAAACCCCCCCTATTGACCACAAAAGCATACATAAACAATAAAAAAGCCTAAAACTAAGCCTTAACAAAACAAAACATGACCTTATTCGTCATCCAACGGCACTAAAGTGGTGAAGGAGCTGACTTCCTGTAGTGGGTGTGACGCTAAACGAGAGTGATTCTATTAAAATTTTCAAACTGGCTAAAAAGAAGCCTGTTTCTCCGATTTCGGTATTTTGACGAGCACCTGATTTCACCACGCTGCCTCACAAATGGTTTTATACATGAAAAGCCTTAATTTCAATGCAAAATCTAATTGATATCTGGTCTCAAGCCCTGTAAAACGCTGAGGGTACTTAAATTGTTGGATGATACTGTTTCGGTAATCTGCAATATAAATGCATCGATATATCTTTTAAAAATGCCCGGCTGTGATAGTGCGCGACTTTGATAGTTTGCTGGGTTCTTTTTCTCGAAAGTGCGCGGCTCTGATGTTCTCTCCTCTTGGTCTACTCGGGAACAATCCCAAGGTCTCAAATGAAGTGGAAAAGTTTTCCTAAGTTCTATCTAACACAGAGAATGTTTATTGTAAGACATCCTACTCTATGCATTCATTGTTCGGGTGAAGGAATGTTAACGGTCTTTACACTGGTAAGAGAGTAAAGAAAACGCACAGGTAAATCTATAGATCTAATCAATGTGATTATTTGATAGAACTTCAAATACAAGGCTTTATAGATTTAGTTTTAGGTCTGGTAAGGGTTTTACGGCACTTGCAACACTAATTAATAGGTAATGTAAATGCCGAAGATGGGTGTTAATGAGAGTCAAAGCATACATGTTCAAAGAAAGGGAGGATCGGGAGACAAGGACGATAGATGTTTCATAGGAAAGAAAGAGCAAACCACACAAGAACGCCCGCCAATTACCAACGATAATATATTATGGTAAAAGAGACAAGAAATAACTCGCACAGAGTTCTTAAAGTTGATTATAATTATATGGGGAGCAGAAACTGAAAAAAAGACAAAACAGATCAGGGTAATATGGATATTTATCATAATCTGAAGGGGATGGGGTGAGGGGGGGGTGAACATAATAAGAGAAACTAAATACATGTAATAATATAATGAAGCATTTTACCACTGGCCTATATCCATGCTCTACATAAAGCCCCATGCGCTTTACAATTGTTTTTACCCCAGCACACACATTGTAATACGACTCCGAAACATACTCGGTTTCTTGGGAAGCAGGCAGTGCAAGCAGCCGTCGGTCCCTTGACGGGTTCGAACCTACAACCTTTCGGTTGCGACCACAACAACCTAACCACACGACCAACGACGCCACATTATCCGAGTAAAGATTCAGTGGCGAACAATGACTGCTGATGTCTGCTTCAGATACACAGCTTTTGAATTATAAGAATTCTGCAAATCGTGAATTAAAGAGCCTAGCTTGTTAACTTTAGTTTTAGAAACTACATGTATATAAAAATATGAAAGCAGAAAGCATTTCTGTAGCCGTGCTTTTCTTGATCTACTTAGTACATTGAAACATTGTATAGATAGATATATAGATAGATAGATAGATAGATAGATAGATAGATAGATAGATAGATAGATAGATA